AATTATGCATTAACATAACCGAAATGTTAACATTAATTTTCACATAATAATCACTTCCCTGTTTTATGTTTATTAATTTATTTTTGAACTATAAATTAAATTAATTATAAATTTTCCGTATTATTATAATCTAACGACAACAACCAATCTCGAACTCTAATTTTACACTTATGTTTTGAAAGGGGACAGAAATTTAGAATTTTGTTAAGTTTGTTATAAAGTACTATAGAGATATGCGCTTTGCCGTCTAGCAAAAGCAGTGCGATATCTGAACAGTGCCAGTACGTTGGGTATTCTACGTTTGTTACGACAGATCTCAGGGTCGTAGGGAGTGCGATCGTGTTGCTTGGTGACAAAATTCTGAACGTATGATTGTCTCACAGACAGCAACTTGCATTCGCTGTATAATAATTTTGTTGAGTATCTATAAGGTTTAAAAGTCATAGTTTTTAGTAAACATCTTTGTGCTCTTTCGAGTTTAATTAAAAAACTTTTGCACGATCCTCCCCAGACACTTATGCAATAGCCTATAATTGATTGTGCAAAAGCAAAGTATATTGTGCGCAATAAATCAAAATCAGCAATGTGTCTTAGCTTTTTAAATGTCCAAATAAGTATACGAGTCCGGGATGAAATAATCAATGTGTGGGAGCCAGCAAAGTCTCTCGTCTAACAACACACCAAGGTATTTTACAGTTTTAGATTTAGTTATATTAAGGCAAGAGCATTTGTATGTTGACTTTAAATCACAAAAATGTACCTTCAGTTCTATATCCTCAACAGCTGGAGTATTCGTAATACGGAACTGTAAGTACGTTTTTAAGTAATTTAGTACAATCACAGTAATGTTGTTTATTATAGTAATTAAATAAATTTATCAATGATTTATACATACATAAACATTCACGCCTGTCAACCAGAGGGGTAGGCAGACTACAGACTTCCATTTGACACGATCCTGACACACCTCTCTCACCTCCTCCACATCCATATAGTACGCATGCATGCTCGTCGGTTACAGTTACTGTTAATTTGGCCCATTATCAATATATCGCCAATTCGGTCGATAAACTTTCGCCCAGGACGTCTCTTTCCGACTCTGCTGTTCATTTCTGCAATATAAATCAGCTTTATCACTCTTTTCTCATTCTTTCTACATGACCAAACCACCGAAGCATTCCTATCTTAATCTTCGTCACAACATCATCTTGAAAACCACACTCTACTCCTATCACACAATTTCTCACCGCTTAACGACCGCATTTCTACTGCGTTTATTCTATTCTCGTGCTTCTTTTACCACACCCAACTTTCACCACCATACGTTAAAGTAGGAACTAACACAGCATTGTGAATTGTCATACGTGCCTTTTTTGATTCTATTTCGATTTATAGTAGCCAAAAATACAATTTAACTAAAACACAATCAGACGATAAAAAATATATCTTTATTATCTCATAATACAAACTCTGCTCAGCGAAGTTTTGTAAGTCATATTAAAATATAATGTCAATTTGTCAAATGTAAATGTATTTTAATTAAAAAAATATGTGAGAATGGTGTATTAATTCCGATTTCAATATTACTATTGGCCTCATATAGCAGTGCCTCATAAGAATATCCTTACAAAAAATATATGTTCATATAAAATATATTATTATCATTTTATTTATTTATAATATAGTCTATTCTAAAAGACAACTCTAGATGTGAAAAAATAACATAGTAATATAGATCCCACCAAAAGCATAATTGTGAAAAGTACAAACCGGTACAAACGACGTCTGTGGATGTTGGATTTGGCAGAGTTGAAATCTGAACGGGCGCCAAGCTTCGGAGTAGACGTTTAAATCGTACAAATGTACACCGTTCTTGGAGCATAACAGTTCAAGGGTTTGGTGCTTGCAGTGGCCCCCTTTTCACATTTATGTGCTTAGTGGAATATAATTAATTAAAAAATATATATATTTTAATACCTAATCTAAATTAATACATGTCGACATTTTTATTGAGTTTACGCTTCACTGGTTTCGATTTTAAAGCATTATGTCAACAAATATATAGTTTCTGTTAGTTTTAAGTGCTGAAAATGCTCTTAACTCGTGTCAGTTATCATTCTAATTAAAGAAAAAATTGACATTCTTCGAAAGTTCCTAATAACTAGATATAGCTTAGTAAGTAAAACGAAGCAAGTAAAATATCATTTTGATAATATTCTTTTTCATAGCCTGATATTATTTTTTTTTCTTTGGTTATGGACCCGTAAGGTTACATTTTTGCCAATATCAAGTAAAAAGCAATTATTGTTTTTAAAGTCTTAGACCAACAACGAAAAATAGACAGAACGCTGTATAGTTTAAGTGACACTAAAACCATACTCATCTTCTTGACACGTCTTTTTTCTTTCTTTTTTAGCTCGTAAAACTTCATAGCTGGACGCACACTTATGCACGTGAAACCATGTTGTTTATATGTGCAAATGATTTACGATACATATGTGTGTTTTAGTTAAGCATGGTTACTTGAATGTACGCAGCGTTACGTCTATCTTTCTTTGACTTTAAAAAAACTTTTTTACTTATGTATCCACATTACGAAATTTTTGGGAGATTGACGACAGACGGAGGCGGGAAAAATAATTAAAGATTCATATCAACATCGAAGCACTTGTTGCGTCGCCTCCACTAATATTTCACATGCATAGACACTTAATACACACAAAATCGCATCACTTATACGTATCAAAATCCATTTCAGTCATTATTTAAAAGATATAAATAGGAGCAACAATTTGGCCTTACCTCCCGCCAAAACTCTTAAGTACATAGTAAAGAAAATGGTAATTTTATACTATCGCGGTCCCCCGTTTTTTGGCTTTAGAAAATCGAAAAATCATCCAATTTCGATAATTTTTTTTTAATCTTCGCTTTTACGACGGATTTATCAAAAAAATGTGAAAAATATCTCACCTGAAGATTTCATATAGTTTTATGACTTTAAATGTGATCATAAACGCACTTCTTCGAATATAATCGTTCATAACTTTTTTGCAAAGCATTAAACGAAGTTTATGTATTTTTTGTTAATCTACATAAAAAACGAACATTAAAAAAAATTAAAAATGTTTGTTTATTCATTTTTTATCTTACTTAGTTTTTATACGGTTTTCTGACTTTAAATGTTAGATATTAGAAAAGAACTTATATAACATAAACATTGCTCGTGGTTATGAAAATAATTTATGGGTCTTACACCCTGAAACCAATATATTTATTTATTTCTGCAATTTTTTTCGTAAATCCGCTGTGAAGAGAAGATTCTAAAAAAAATCATCGAAATCGGATGATTTTTCGATTTTCTAGAGCCAAAAAACGAGAGGACCGCGATAGTATAAAATTACCAAAAAATGACTTTATTTGATGATACAATTTTTTATAATTTATAATTTAACTATTTGTGAACTGGTTTAATTACACTATCAGTTTGAATTTTATGTTGTAGTGATCAAGTTCAAAGTTGTGTTTTTATTAGTTCGAAAATTGCCTGTTCTTAATATACGTAAATAAATAAATCGAAAACAAAGTTATATCTAATAATAAACGCTCATTTGTACTAAGATTTAGCAAGTTTGTCATCAATATAAAACACTGAAACATAATACCAAATTAATATTTTACTAATACTAAATATTTTATCTTTATTTTCTAATAAATATCCCATGTTTAATATGGTCCCGTTTTTATCTAGGACTAAGTCACATGCTTAATGATTATTGTATTTTGTTGTAATATCACAACAAAAAAATACCCACTGTATTAACATGTCGTAAATGGCGAATGGAATATTGTGTTTGTCCAGCCATTATACGTTACGTATACGCTGCTATTACTTTCACAAAGAATCATGCCCACTTTACATACAATGAATGACCTGCCACTTTCTACAACTACTGTTGTATAAAAACAATTATTGTTTATAATAACATAATAACTTATCATCTTTTCATTTAGAGGCCAGGGAGAAATGCTATTAATTAAATAAAAGTTTGAGGTTATAACAGCCGTCAGATAAGGTCAGTACACTTATTTTTCTTTCCACATCATAGTACAAAATCATTAAAAATTTTAATGATGAATTAATTAATTATAAAAAAGAAATTGGTTATTTTGAACATTCATAAACCACATGACGAATGAGCAAGTTTTTCGTAGTCTGAAACGGAACGTGTAAAACACGTGTTTAATATATTTTGGCATGGCTTCTGGGCCTTTGAGCCATTGCTAAAAACGTTCCGTCTCCAAAAGTCTATTGAAAATGATAAACAAAGTAACATAACTTTTTTCCTGACTTTATTTGAAAATTCAATTATGCGATACGAAATGAGAAAAAAAAAACAATTTTAGAAGATATTTTATATCACTAGACGTGATAGAAAATTTTCAGGTCAAGACTGGACATGATTATTTTATCTAAACCCGTATTTTTAGTTAAATATGGTCCAAATAGCTTGCTGCAATCGACTCTGCCTACCTCCTCGAGTTTTACAGGTGTAATGATATATTGTTGTTGTTTCCAACAATGTCTTAAAATAAAATAACTCTCTTGATACATCTTGGAACAGAGTAAAGAAGCAATATCTATCAACTTAGAATTATATATATATATATATATATATATATATTCATATATTGTCTCGTCGTATTTATTTATACATATACTTTTATTTTATACACTATTTCTATTTAAGTACGCATGCTGCTACCTACTTGCTTTACAAACAAACTATTTCTCTCTCCCAAAGGGTTTGCTCGAAGAGAACTCTTTTTAGGCTTAAGCTCACCTGTGTACATCAATTTAAATATTTAAAATTGTTATCAACTGGTAGTGTGTACAATAAAGAATAAAGAAATATGTTTTCTAATTCTTGTGTGGTATAAATATTAAAAGCATCTGAGCAAGATACATTTTAAATTCAAGTTGAAGTTTGCCTTGAATTTACAATAAAGCTGGAAGAATAGCGAATCTGTTTGCTGGGTAGCCTTTGAACGACTTTTTGTACCACTCGTGTGCTTGGATAGCAGTCTGGATCTGGAAAGGAAACAACACTTTTAAAGGATTTAAGTACTCAAGTACTATATTTTTACAAAACTAAACTTAGCATTTAAAGTCCTTAATTGTTTATCCACATAACTATAAGCGACAAGCGACAGTAGCCTAATAGTTGGGAGCGGACAGTGAAGACCGAGGTTGTGGGTTTGAATCCGGCATTCAACTACAGCCATGATATATTTCTAACACAAGTATTTGAAGCTTACCATGAGCGGATAACGTGAATATTACTGATGTTGATAGTGTTGCTAGTATTTTTTTTTAAAAATTCAAAATCTTTGTTAATCTTGCAAGGAGAAGTTTTTACTTATTTTACACATTTACAGTGTGTTGCCGGCGAGACACAGGTACCTGCATAATCATATATTTTACGCTAGACATAAAATGCCCAGACAGGCGACGGAAAACCGTGGAAAAGGTGTGAAAAGTCTGGCAATGCGAAAGTTAATTTGCCTTTTTTATAGAATAAAGTTAAGTGACAAGCACACGGTCCACCTGATGGTAAGTGGATCACTGAGGACTAAGATGATATTCCTCATATCCAGTAAAAAAGGTCTCCGGTTCTCTACACTCACCAAACACAAGAGTGTTAAGCTGCTATTTCACGCTGGTATTCTGTGAGAGCATGGTCCTTCCTTGTTCGGGGCGACCCATTTGTCCTACAAACTTAATATAGCTTCAGCATCGCTCTACCATGTTTGAAAAGCTTGCAAAATTTGGTTTAACGCTAAATCCTCTTCAAATGAAAGAATCCCTAGACTATTATCATCATCATCATTTCGATTTCGGTTTATTAAAAGCCTACAAGAACATAAGTATCTTTTATTTTTTCTTTTTTTACTTTCCTTACTTCACTAGAAGCAGCATATTAAATATCTGTTATTGTGATTGCCAACTTGTTTGCCAAGCGTAACGATTGTGGCAAGTCTTAATGTCCCCCTGACCGAATTTTGGTCACGGCGACCAGTTTTAACGGAGACTAGTCATCTGTGCAGGTCAGGATAGTACACGTGTATGCAAAAGAACAGCTGTACTCTCTATTCCCTCACTTTCGTAGTTCGATGAGACGACAGTCCGACACGACCGGAGAGAGATCAGGCGTAGGACCAACGACTTTACGTGCCTTCCGAGGCACGTGGGTGAAACGCCACACTGGTGGGACCTCATGTCCATCCAGACATCTATAGGATTAAACAATATGTCTTCCTTAAAAGATCTTACATGTAAAAACAAAAAAATTACGAACCTGATTGCTCAGCACCCACAGATATATGCAAAAGAACGTTTTTGTCGGTATCAGTATGATAAGAACGGTGTATAATAATATTTCACAAAGCCTATGTGGACTGGAGACCAGCTCGAAGAGTCTCCCATGAGGTATCCTATGTTCCTCTGTCACAACTTCACCGGTTTTCTTATCCCTGCGCAGATTTGCGAAGATTATGTTGGTTTGGTACTGCTCATAACAGGCATACAGAAAGATTAGCACGCATGGAATTGCCAAAATGCTCGTACGTTTATCTGTCCAGACGACTTTGTCCCTATTTTGGTTGCCTGAAATTAAAAAAGAACTTAAAACAATTTTTTTCATAGCAAATTTGACTCCGCCTATTTGGTCTTGGGAGATCCATTGTGCAGGTGGAGTTGGGAGGCTGCGGAGGAAGGCGCACCTTGTGTTATGTGGCGCCTTGCATGAAAGGGAGAGGGGGAAGGAGTTGTGCCCTCCCAACTGTGACGACAATGGGTGTTTAAGTCGGTGTGAGTTCATTATAACCTGTCCCTGCCCCCAAGAGTTGATATGTCTGAAATTGATATGAAGGCGCTACCTCTTATAATTTTTAATAATGTTACTATTCCTTACTCAACAACTGCTAAAGATATTGGCTTAGTTATTGACAACACCCTTAGTTGGCGACCGCATACATATAAAGTGAGCAAACAGGTCACTCACACTCTGCGTTATCTGTATTGTCTCAAGAATTTTTTACCAATAGGAACTAAAGTGATGCTAATACAGACTCTGGTGTTGCCTATTTTAGACTATGCAGATGTTTGCTATGCTGATGCCTCGCAAGAACTTCTAAACAAACTGGATCGACTTCTTAATAATTGTATACGCTTTATTTTCGGTTTAAGTAAATACGACCACATCTCTTATCGTTCTCAGCTTAAATGGCTACCTCTACGCTATCGCAAATATTTCAGATTACTATGCACATTATTTTCAGTTTTACACGATCCGTTTGTCGCTGAATACCTGAAATGTAAATTTCAGTATCAGGTGATTCTCATAATTGTTGTCTCCGTTCTGTGGAAAACTCTAATCTCCATATCCCTCTCTGCCACACTAGCTTCTTGTATAAATCTTTTACGTCTCATGCGGTAAGATTGTGGAACGAGCTACTAAGTAGTGTACATGCAGCCACGAGCAAGGCATCGTTCAAACGGTTGCTCTGGAATCACTTTCTGGCATTGCAGGAGTAGTTTGTGAATAAAATTTTTTTAATATCCTTTAATTCTAATTGTTCCCTTCTCCTGTTTTAATTTCAAATATTTTATAGGTGTTTGATTGAGAAACAGCTATATAAATATGTATGTACTATATATGCATAATATATACATAGGCAGTATTAAGCAAATATATGTATATATTTATATATCTTGTATGTATATCTATATAATAATATATATGTGTAATTATGTTTATAACATGTGTCGCAATATGTAATGTGTATGACTACTTACAGATATTTTAACTCAGTTGCACTTTGCACCCACAATATCTTCTCTGCTTAGCCAGGAGGTAGACTGGTAGACAATGCCTTGTTGCATTAAGTCCGCCTTTACTTGGTGTGCAAATAAAGTATAAATAAATAAATATGCATAGACATTTCCCTAAGTTACAAAGGTGTCTATGGGTGCAGAGATCACTTACTATAAGGTTGACTGTTAGCTTGTGTCTGTTGTAAAGTTACAGCTTATATTCTCTAAACATTCCACAGACAATGTGTTGGACATACGCCTCCCCTTATTTCAGAGAGAGGGTTTTAGGGCAGGCAAGTGTCCACCGCGCTGCCCTTATGCGAGTTGGTGAACCTCACATGTCTTCAAAATAGTTTTATTTAATCTCTCAGACATGCAGGTTTCCTCGGGATGTTATACTTTACTGACGAGCATGTATTAAAATCAGCACATATATTACATTACGATTGTTGCATAAATTTAGTTTACAGCAAACATAGCTTAGCATTTGAGCTTCTACAATAATGTCATAAAAATAATACAAGCTAAGTCAGTATCATCATTATCATGACAGCAACATAATTTTTAGTTCTAAATTAATATTATAAGTTTTTTGTTAATTCTAAAACAAAGCAATAAAAATATAGATGCCATAGAAAAAATAAAACAAGACAATATAAAAGTAATGATAGTTTTCAACATAAAAAGATAAAGGTAATGCAATTTGTTAACTTTTGCCCCTCCTACTTAAAGTAACACTAAGTTAATAGAAGATATAAAAGACGATAATTTACTAAAGAGAGTAAATGAACTGTGTGATCTTGGTGTTCAGTTGGATAGTAAGTTGTTACTGAGATCACATATTAATATCATAACTCAAAGAGCTTATAAAATGCTAGGTTTTGTTATGCGTATCTCAAAAGATTTTAAAAACTCTACAACATTAATTATACTATTTAATACTCTGGTGCGATCTATTCTTGAATATTGTTCTTCATGTTGGAATCCTCAATACAAAGTTTATGTTAAAATTATTGAAACAATCAATAATAAGTTCCTGCATCACTTAAAGCGATATAATTCTTCTGTAGACTCCATTATTGATAACTTACACAGTTATACACTCGAAAAACGCCGTGATATATTAGATCAAATGTTGTACAAATTACTACATAATATCAACGACTCTCCCCTACTTTTAAGCAAAGTGAATCTTGTATATCACCGGTTAGGTGCACGAAATAAGCCTATTTTTGCATTGCGTAAAGTAAAAACTAAGTATGCTTCAAATCATTTTGTATCTCGTACATGTAAAAGTTTTAACTTAAAATATTGTGAACTAGATATTTTTCACCTTAAATATAATAGTTATAAAAAAAATAGGTACTGTAAAACTTAATTTATAATTGGAAGCTTCACTATAGGTTGTGTGTATTATATTACTTTTAACTGCTTGGTACTTAATGTTTATATATAAATACCATTTAGTTATTTTTTTTAACCTTTAAACATATTATGGTTGCAAGCTTTTAATATGTTTTAGATATCTGTGGAAACTTCATTGGTTTTAGGATTACTTTTATATGTTTTATAATGTATTTTTTATTGTACTGTATGTTTCCCTTAAAAAGCAAATAAATAAATGAATAATCTTGGCAAAGCTACACTGTGGCAAAAGTGTGTTGGCTTGATTGAAGTAGGATGTGTAATACTCTCAAAATTATGCAGTATTTCATATATAGAGTGTAGAGAACTGAAGATTGTTTTTACTGGTAATAAACATGCATAAGTCATGCACGCCTACGGGTGCGACGCACCTCATTCGTTATCCTACTTGTGCTTGTTCCATTTGGTGTGGGTGTAGTGTCAATATACAAGACAATGTACTGTGGTGTGCTTCGGTGTGTCAGTGCAATGTAAGTTGTTTGGCAGACTTATAAAACATCATCAAAACTATATTGATACTGCCTATAAAGTATGTATCGGGTTAATGTTGTTAATGGGCAATATTTATTTAAATGACACGAAATAGATGATGGACTTACCACAAAACAATGGCGCCTGCCCCACAACTGCGACTACACAAGCGAAATAATGCACCATCCCAACAAGATAATGGCTCAGGTTCATTTTACTGGACTTAGCAAACACTTGAAGGCAGTATGTCTCATAGCAGCGCCGTATGCACTGGATGGTAAGGAGGCACATCGCTATGATGGCGGCTGATGCACTCACTGAAAATAATTGTTAATATATATTTGATTAATATGTTGATGTTCTGTGTAGTAGCGTGTAAGAATATCCACCACCTCATATCATTCCGTGGGTATGGTTAGAGATGACAGAGGGAAACAAATCAGGAAATGGGCAGCGGCATCTACCGCTTTTTTCACATGGTCGGTGGAGCCACGCTGCAGCTATATTATGGTTGTAGCATGAATGGGTCGGCTCGACAGGGGAACGAGCACACTCTCACAGAAAACCAGCGTAAAATAGCAGCTTAATGCTGTGGTGTTTCGTATGGTGAGTGTAGAGAATCGGAGACCCGTTTTACTGGGATTGAGGCATTCCGTCTTAATCCTTAGGGGTGATAACGCATCTGCATTTTGATTCTTAATTGAATGTAGATGTCTATGGGCCAAAGCATCCACTTACCATCAGGTGGACTGTATGCTCGTTTTTCACCCTTATCCAATAAAAAAAAAACAAATAATGACAAAAAATGAAAAACTGCAATTGCTAACTCACTTACCAAGTATGGACATTATGGCAAATACACCCCCATGAGTCATAATAAATTATACTAAATGTAATTCAAACATAGGAGCCATATATAGAGGTATGGCACACTCACCTACTTTAATTAAGTATGTGTTAATAGCTGTATTCGAGTAATCCTAGCTTTCTAATGTACTTTTTATTGGTACTGCTCCAGGTATTCTGTAATTTAGGCATTTCATTGGGGAGGCATATGTACAGCAGTGGAATTTAACAATATAAATGCTGTAACAATAATATGTTGATTTCAGAAGCTATTCACTGGGCAGGATACCTTTTAGTGCCAAAAGCAACAAGGTGGTATTAATTCTAAAATACTTTAAGGATTAAAAGAAACAGGAGTTATATTCCTAAGTGAATTTTTATCTTATATCCCAAAATCTATTTTATGAGTAGTATTATAAAAAACTTGGGGAGAGCTCTTGGTAAGTAGATGTCTTTGATAAAATTTGTTAGTGTTGCTATAATTTATATTTAGTTTTCTAATTGCTGTAGAGACTATCAGGCTGTGCGGTCCACATGTGTTTAAGTTCCTAACGGAACTGTATTGCAACTGGTAGTTGTGTGCTGGTGAAAAGAGGGCTGGATTTTTTTGTCTCAAAGGCTAAGTATAGCCATTTAGTGAAGAAATGCAGCCTGGATGCAGTAGGATTGTATGATTATTTAAGTTTTTTATTGTGGTTTTTTAATATTGTATATTATATATTTGTATGTTATGTAAATAAATGATGCATATAATGCATATTTATGATGAATTGAATTAAACTAATTTTATACATTTTATTGCATTTCATTAGACTTATTTTTAAATCCCTGTATTTGGGTTATTTGTGTTTAACAGCACCAATGGTCATGGGGAACGGAGGTGTTTGACATCCTGATCCAGGATACCTACGGCTTTTAAATATTAACATTCTGGTCCAATCTATTCAGAATGAGCTTTCAGTATCTTGAAGTCTTGCAGAGGTATGCTTAGGTTTGGATTTAATTTTAATAATTATGGTATCCCAAGCAGATAGTCACACAATTCTAATAGGTAGGAATCATTGTTCTTTTGTGAGGATTTGTGGTTTATCAAATCTAATGTAACGGCGGGGACAATGCTCAACAAGTTCACAGCTGACTTCTCAGTGTTGGTGCTTCACATCTTTGTTTTTTTAATAGGTTTTTTATCAATTTATACTCTGTTAATTTTAGCAAATTATATGAATACAACTTCTACCTGTACTTAAATTATCTAAATTGTATTATGTGTGTCTATAAAACTTTTTTGGTATTATCTGATATGAGCGTATATTTCTGTTCACCTGTTGCCTCAAGCTTCATTAAATGAGTATTGGCAGTGGCAGAAAGTTACAAGAAACAAAAAATAATCTTATATGCCAGTACCAATGTAAGTATGTGTTGTTTATATTGAGTTATACTGTAATCCTATATTTTCAACATGGACTAACACTGCCTGTGTAAGAAATACTTAAAAAAAAGTAAAAAAAAAGCCATATAGTGGTAGTGTTGGATAATCCATTATACAATAATATCATCCTGTGGGTATCATAACAGATAACAGAGGGAAATTCAAACTGAAGATTAGCAGCAGTATCTTCCTGACAACTACTGTAAGTTGTAAAAAGCTATGGCCACCAACCAGCTTGTCAAATATGGCAACTATGGCATAAAGCGTGAGGCAATGTATGGGAGAGGCACATGTTGTATGTGTTGCAGTGGGCTTTAGATAGTCTGCAGAATGAAATAAAAACACTTACCTGCCGATTCATCTTGCTCCAGGAATATCTTTAACAATAAAAATATATACGAGTTTACATTGATATTTAAATAATAAACTAATATCATATATGCTAAAGCAGCAGTACTAAATATTGAAGAGAATAAATAGAAATGGCGGTAAAATGCCTTAGGAACTTCTATCATTTGCAAATAGTTAGCTCCAGAACCCTGGTAAGCAAAACTGCCGTATCTGTAACTTTTAATGACGAAAACCGGCACATGTTTTTCATAATTATTTATTAGAAATCCAGTAAAAAATATCATAAAAGCTAAACTTAGAAAAATGAGATCTAGTATATTCAACATTATAGAAGTTACACTTGCTTCGTCTGTATTAAATCTACAAAGCAAAACTCTCTTTGAAAGTAACTATGTAATTATGGAATGAGGCATAACGGATAACGGTGTTTAATTTATACGGAATAGTACGAGTTAAACATAACCAGTCACCGTTTGCACAAACCAATAAGTTAAGAAGTAGTATTACAGTAACCGTTTGTTCCACTTTTCTCGAGGTCATTCATGTGTTCAGTTTCGAAGAAGCAATCATATTATTATAGAATTATCAAAATTATACATGTGGTTAAATTTTTTAATGAAAAGCACTGATGATAATTGATAACATTTTGCTTTTTGATTTTGACTATTATTTAACACTGACAGTGACATCCTGACATACTGACATAGACCTATTGCAATTGCTATTGTTGTATTTCGGTGAAACCAGCAATGAAAATAAAAACTACAATAATTCCAAAATAATTCAACTTATATAAAGGAAAAATATTATTTTGCTACTAAAAGTCAGTGATTATTTCTGCTATCTCATTCACCTGATGATAAATTGTGATACAGTTAAAGATGGAAAAGCTGACTTGGTTTAAAAATAGCCCATTCGATGGTAATCGGATGGAAAGACAGAATGCTAGCAAATTATTTCATTCCTTTGCTGTGCGCAAAAGGAATGATAAAGCAAACTGTTACTGTTTGATTGGAATGCGTAATATGTTGACACAAAGAAAATCCTAGTGTGGAGGTTACGTTTTTAAAAGAAAAAAGCGGTGGAGGCCAGCTGAGTGTTTGGTTTTTGAATATTTTAAAAGTTCCTACACCGTCACAGTGGCTAATGGGTAAAGTACCGAAGCAGTTGGAATTGGTACTGTCCGTGCTGAAGCTTATGTTGAAGGTGAACCTTGGATTACACGAAATCTATTTTCTGTGCTTGTTTTTTCGAATCAACTGCTGAGATCTATTCATTGAGAGTAAATGTCAAGGTTATGCTACATGTAAATAGGCAAAGGCATGGAGAGTTATTTAAACTGAATTTAAAGTGTGTGCCACCTATGCTACATATTAATCAGATAACAACTTCCAATTTACTACAAGTTTATCATGAGAGGATAGCGCATCAAAATAAGTGACATGTAAGACAGTTGACAGAGCCGTGGTAGCGCAGATGGTTAGCGCTTGCTAAAAATTTCATAGTACGCGAGAAAACCGAGTTCAATCCCCGCCGGCACTCATAAAATTGTTAATTGCAATTTTAGTGCTGTTTTACCACGTGCTCGGCGGTGAAGGAAAACATCGTGAGGAAACCAGCATGTCTGAGAAATAAGAAAAAATATTTCGAAGACAATTCCTTGTCCTAAAACCCTCTCAGAAATGAGCGGGGGCCTGTGCTCAGGAGTGGGATGTATATAGGCTGTAACTTTAACTAACTTTTAAGACAGTTTATAGGTAAAGAGCTCGGCATTTTAATGGCTCTGGACCAAGAACTTTGCGAAGGAGGCATAAATGGAAAAGCCCACCGCAAAATTTTGGAATGCGACCAAGAGCATCAAAACAGGTGAAATTTTTCATACTGATGTTTGCGGGCCTTTCCTGTATTCATTTCAGGAATACAGATATTTTGTTTTATTTGAAGACGACTTTTCCAGTTATCGCTTTATATATTTCCTGAAGGAGAAGTCAGAAGTAGCCTCAACGCTTAATAATATGGTAGCTGAAATAATTGCGTTTGGCCATAAAATAAGAGTAATTATTTCTGATAATGGGGGAGAATTTAATAACCAGATGGTCCGCGACATTTTACGCATTAATTCAAATGTCATATACTCCTCAACAAAATGGGGCGTATGAAAAGGATGCACGTTCGGTGATGTATCATCATCATTACAGCCCTTCACAAGTCCACTGCTAAACATAAACCTCCCCCAAGTCACAAAGCATGGTCCTCAACCACCTGCATCCATCGACTTCCTGCATGCCTTACCAGGTCGTCACTCTATCTAGTGGGGGGTCACCCTCCGCTTCTCCTACCAGTACGAGGCTGCCACCTGCCACTCGAGAACCTTTTTTCCCCAACGGTTGTCGGTTCTTATATGGCCGGCCCATTGCCACTTCAGCTTACTAATCCGTTGGCTATGTCAGTCACTCTGGTTCTACTGCGGATATCCTCATTTCTAAGTTTATCACGCAGAGAAACCCAGCATAGCCCTCTCCATAGTTCGCTGAGCGACTTTGAGCGTCCTCATACGGCCAGCAGTAAAGGACCACGTCTCAGTTCCATAGGTCATCATTGGCAACACGCACTGGTGTATAGTCTCGTTTGGTTTTGAGGTCTGGGAAAATGTGTCGTAATTTCCCGAACGCTGCCCAGCCGAGTTGAAGCCGTCGATTGACCTCTCGGTCGAAGCTGGACTTACCTAGTCGGACTACTTGCCCCAGGTAAACGTACTTGTCAACAACTTCGAACTTAGGGCTCCCAACAACTACCGGCATAGGTGTGACATGGACATTAAACATGATTTTTGTTTTGTCCATGTTCATCTTAAGACCTATCCGTTGGGAGACACTATTGAGGTCATTGAGCATAGTGCTTGGGTCCTCCAGCGATTCTGCCATAAGGAGCATATCGTGGCATGGGTGAGGTGTACTGCCATTTATTATCCTTTCCAATCCAGTAGCTTGAAAGCATCTTCCGACGCAGCGGTGAAGAGTTTCGGGGATATAACGTCACCCTGTATTACACTTATCTGCAGTTGGATGGATAGGTTTCGTACTCTGGTTCTGTACTCGGATAGCTATCGTAGCCCTACTGTACAAACACTTCAGCACTTCGATATATCGACATTCCACTTGGCACCGCTGAAGGTACTGGTCGCACCGCTCAAATTTTGACGGAATCAAAGGCTTTCTCATAGTCCATATACGCCTGACAAAGTGGCAGATTGTACTCTTCGGACTTCTGTACAATTTGCCGAAAGGTGTGTACTGTTTGGCTTGCTCGGGAGGCTGGAAGTCGTCGAGTCTGCGTGCGAGATGAATCTTAATGACTCTCGAGAATAGCACGTAGACGCGGTTTAGAAGAGATATCGGTGTGTAGTTCTTCAAGAGAGCGTTGTCACCTTTCTTCAAGAACAAGACCACCGCACTTCTGCTCCACGCCTCGGGAGTAGTGCCGCCATGGAAGATGGAATTAAAGAGCCTCTGAAGGACTTACGTACGTACCGGTTTTCCACCCGCTTTCAGAAGCTCCGCTGTAATGACTTGCCGTTTTTAAGATGCTGGAGAGCCATTCTAATCTCACTCAGACTGATGTCCGGGATGTCATCAGAATAATGTCGGATAAGACTTGCTCTTGGATCGCTACTCACACTGGGTGTGGCTCCGACGATGACGTGTACCGTTGCCCGTAGAACCTCTCAATCTTATGCTGCCACACTCGGTCTTCAGCTTCGACAGTTGGCTCTTTCTGATAGACAGATCTCTGGCAAAGACTTTGGAGTCTTGGTTCCGCTCGATCGCTTCTTCAATACGAGCTGTATTGAAGTTGCGTAAGTCCCGGCGCATGTATTTGGAGATCTGTTTGTTCAGTTACCTGTATGCTGCCAAATCTGCTGAAGACTGCAGCTTCATTTCCTGTCTAACAGCCATGAGATTAAGAGTGTGATCGGAGAGTTTGGTGTTCTTCTGCGGCGGTTCATGCAGAACTTAGCGCCGACCACATGGACAGTTTCCACGAGCTTGTCATTCATATCGTCTGATGCATTTCAATCTTCTAGGCACTAAAAACGATTTTGTAACTCGAGCTGAAAGGTTTCGGGATTCTGGATTAGAGCACGTTGACTTCATTAGACGAGACTTCTCCAACTTAATGTTTAGGTATACTATGCCTCGAACCATTCGGTGATCGCTGCCGGTTTTCACCCTTGCAATCACTGAGACATAACTGAACAGTTGGCGTCTGGTCGTCTTAAGGAAGTCAATCTCATTTTTTATCGAACCATCTCCACCAGGTCCACTTCCTTTGGCGCCGCTTCTGGAAGAAAGAGTTCACCATAAAGAGTCCCTCTTTCTCCATGAAGTCGGTCAGCTGCTGGCCCCTTGGGTTCCGTTGCCCTATTCCAAATTTCCCTAACTTCAGCTCACCGCTTTCTCCTGTGCCTAGTTTAGCGTTGAAGTCTCCCACCAACACCGTATAGTGAGTTTTGGAGGAATGCATGGCTCTAGTGATATCCTCCTATATTTCCTCCACCTCTTCATCGGGATGTGCTGAGGTTGATGCGTAAACCTGGATGACCTTCAGCGAATACCGTTTGGTGATTCCGAGTATCAGGTACGCGACCCTCGTCGATACAGTCTCAATCTTTACTACGTTGTTGATCAGAGACTTGTGGACGATAAATCCAACACCTTGGGATGGATGGTCGCCTCCCCGGTGATAGAACAAGTTGCCGGATTCGAGGATTACAGTGTCCACCTCCTCTCTTCGGACCTCCGATAATCCTATTATATGTCAGCGCAACTTGTTTACCTCTTCTTCCAGCTCCAGTATCTTCTCGTCGGTTCTCAGGATGCGTACGTTATATGTTGCCAGGTCGAGTCATCGGAGGTGACAACCGAACCTCCACCGGAGATTCTTAGCACCCCCTGCCCCACCGTTACCATGGTCGCCACCGTACCCAGGAATAGCGGGACTGTCGGGGACTGGGGGCCGTTTATTTATGTCGTTGCTAATGGGAGGATGTTTTCCATAGTTGCCACGCTTGGCGAGCGGGTTGGCAACCGCAGTTTTTTTGTACAGTTGCTGCTATCGGGAAGATGCTGCTCCCATCTCTTGCCTGTTTCCCTCTTTTGCCTTTTATGACACCCACGGGAAAATAGGGGGTAGTGGATATTCTCAGCCGGCACTCTCTACACGGCATTCATTGATGCATTCGGTGATGTGTGCTCAAAAGGACTATGGGCTGAAACCGTAAATACCACTGTTTACATTTTAAATCGAACAGGGCCAACAAAGATTGCAGGAAAGCCTCTTCATAAATTGTGGCATGTCAAAGAACCAGCTATTAAACATCTGAAAATTATAGGTTATCCGTGCTATGTTCATATTCCTAAACAAAGTAGTATGAAACTTAATAAAAAAGTTAAAAAAAGAATGTTGATGAGAGAGTTGCGAATTAAGCTTTCTAGAAGGGTCCACTCTCGAACTTTCTGCGCCTAGGTCGGTCAGCGCCC